CATATATATTTTTAGAATAGACCTTGATAGACCAAATAACATACTTCTTTGGCATCTAATATGGAAATCGTATTTTATCCTGAACTCATTATTTCCCACCATTTTAAATAATACTGAATTTCATTTAATGTTAGAGCTTTTGAAACATGGCAAAATTAGTTCAGAATAGACAATGCAAGTTCTAAATTGGAAAGCTGTAAATGGGAATTCCTTGATTTACCTTTGATTATCAGTTTTTTCAGTAATAAAAATGGGAATAGTAACAACCTCATTAGGTTGAGATAAAATTGAAATGAATGCAAAACCCTCTGAGGCAAAAAAGGGTTAGTGACATAAAAGAATATTAAAATTGGCTGAAGGGGAAGATAATATTTAATACAGTGACATATCCAGATCAAATAAATTAAATAATGATGGCAAAATCACAGCTCATGAAATCAAATCATCTTGTTTAAACTCATACTAGAAAGTTGACAATAGTATATTGTAAAGTGTGCTTATGTCTCTGAAAATTTAGATGTTTGAGATAATTACTAAAATTGAACAACACTGATCATCAGTGATAAGTTTCACAATCAATGATCATTTATTAAGCATCAACTTGTTGATGTGCAGTGCAACAAAAACAAGACTAGGTCCATGTCCTCAAGGGGTTTACCAAAGGTTTGAAAGATAAGACCTGGGCTAACACAAGAGATCTTGTATATATTGCTTCTGTTAAGGCACTAGTAATCCTGCACTGTAACTTTTTTTTTCTTGTTTTCTCTGTAAGCTTCTTAAGGGTCCATGTCATATTTATCTTGGCATCTCTAGTACCTGGTACACTGAGGAGATTAATATAAATGTATTGAATACACTGACAGACGGACCTACGTAAATATAAACCAAATAGAATTAATATTAAAAAGTTATTAAGAAAATTCTCCAGAACACAGACTAGGCACCAATGATTTCCAATTGCCAAGATTGGAATATGCCTCATAAACTCAGGTGATGTACTCAGGCCTTGAATAATAAGCTGTCAGGAATCTAACGGAGGAGGGAAGCAGCATTCCAGCAGCAGAGGAGAGCATGAAAAATTCCACAACATAGAAAATGAAAAGCACAAAACCTGTTGGTTGAATAATGCCAGAAGCCCCTTGTCTAAAAGGGAACTGGGCATGAATTAGAGAAGCTGAGTATGTCCATTCTTCTTCAGGCCACAGGTAGTCATAGAAAGTTTTGGATTAGGCAAATAGCATGATTATAAATGTGCTTTGAGTAGAGTGATTGGGCTGCTACAACATGGAATGGACTGGAAGTGGAAAAACGCTAGATCCCAAGAAACAAACAAGTAAGTGACTGTAGACAGGAGGTAAAAAGGATCTGAAACAGACCAATAAAAATGGAATAGAACTGATGAATGTGAGAAAACTACATATCATAATCCCCTCAATTTCTATTTCAAAATATAAAATACATATCCCTGAACAGATCTACTCCTGTTTTAATTACATTTTTAGTCTAATAAATCACTGACATTACTTAATTTGAAATACTCCAGTAGACTCCTAGTTGCCCTTCCAGCTTCCATTGTTACATCTACCTTTGCCCCACTGCACAGCAGCCATAATTATCTTTTTAGGTATCATGCCACTGCTCAATGTCCTCCAAATACTTTCCATTGCAACTGGAACAAATCCTTATTTCTTACTGTGTTTCACAAGACTGTCTGGCCTTTGCTCTCCTCTCAGATTTCCTTCTTTAAAACACTTTCTCTAGCCATACCTGCCTTCTTTTTGTTCCTCTAAACACTGAGTTCGTTTTCATGGAGAAACTAACTTTGCCCTAGCTACTCCCTCTGCCTACATGTTCTTGCTCTAGTTCTTCACATGGCTGGCCTTTCCATTTTTTCACAACTCAGCTCAAATGTCATCTTCTCAAAGCCGCCTTCTCCAATCATTATTCCTAAAGTAGCCAGAGCCATCCCACTGGCTACTTTCCTTCTAGCTTTCCAGTTACCCTGCTTTATTTCTTCAAAGGAATTATCATCCTCTGTAATTATCCTCTTTATCTATACATGCTTGTTGTCTCACCAGTCTCCTCCCAATCATACTAAATTACACAACTTGTGATGGCAGCATCCCGTCTGTGTTATTCACCACTCCACTCTGTCCCCCACAGTGCAAAGGGCAATTCTGGAACACAGCGGATGCTCCATAAATATACATTTAAAAAAATGCTTATCACAAATTCTAGTAGACAAGTAATACTTATCTGGGCTATACGTCTTTTCTTTCCCTATTTTATTAGGAAATTCCTCACAGACTGAAATAAAAATCACATATTTTAGATCATGTAGTACCTTATAAAGATGTAAAGTAGTAAGTTTGTACAAGCTATTCAGCTTTTACAATTAAATAATTTGGTGGTCTTAAAATAAGACTGACTGCCTTACCTCACAAGCTAAGTATCTGCAGCAAAATTTATATAGAAATAACCAGGAGACTTAATCTAAAAGTGGAGAGAGCAATGGGAGAGTCTTCAAGAGACGATATGGAACCCTCCTGTGATGGTTAATACTGAGTGTCAACTTGATTGGATTGAGGGATACAAAGTATTGTTCTTGGGTGTGTCTGTGAGGTTGTTGCCAAAGGAGATTAATATTTGAGTTAGTGGACTGAGAGAGGCAGACCCACCCTCAATCTGGATGGGCACTATCTAATCAGCTGCCGGCATGGCTAGAACAAAGCAGGCAGAAGAAGGTGGAAAGAGCAGGCTTGCTGAGTCTTCTGGCCTTGATATTTCTCATGTGGTACGCACTTCCTGCACTCCAACATCAGACTCCAACTTCTTCAGCTTCAGACTCCAAGTGGTTTGCCAGGGGCTCCTGGGCCTTCAGCCACAGACTGAAGGCTGCACTGTCAGCTTCCCTGCTTTTAAGGTTCTGGGACTCAGGCTGGCTTCCTTGCTAGTCAGCTTGCAGATGACTTACTGTGGGACTTCACCACAATCATGTGAGTCAATACTCCTTAATAAACTCCCCTTCATGTATACATCTATCCTATTAGTTCTGTCCCTCTAGAGAACTCTGAATAATACACTTCCCTACTATGCTATTAACTAAAGGGCATCCTAGCTACCTGCCTTGAATTAGTGGTTTGCCATTTTAATTAAAATACACGAGTAGAGATACATTTTAAGAAAAACACTAGTTATACACATACACATACACACACACGTGTATTATGTACATATGTATCTGTGTATATATCTTGCATTTTTATAAGAAAAAAACAGAAAATATATAAGTTTTCAAGAACACTTTGTTAGAAAGCAGAAACGTTTGAACTAAGTAACCAGAATGATAAACAAATTCCCAGTATCATTGTCTATTTGGTGTGGCTATCAGAATTTTATTTTCCTCCTTTCTTGTTTGCTATTTCTTTAAGTCAATCTGGCCCCCATGACCTCTGACTCTGTGACTTGGCACCAGCGCTGTGGCCCCTCCATTTCCATTTGATAACTGCAGAGAGATTATTTATAATCCTGTTCATTAGACAGATCAATCTGAAGTTGGCAAGTTTTTAAATATAACTAGCATTTTAAAAAAGAGATACATTTATAGTTTGGTTAACAATATATACTGCACATTTTGTTTTTAAAAGGCCTGTTTACTGCCACTGATTACCTATATACTTAAATGATTGAGAAAATTCCTTCTTTTGTTTTATTCAAATATTCATTGAATGCCAGGACTCCTGTGTGCTAATATAGTGGTGCTCTACTTTCTGCATCTATATACTAGAGAGACCAAGCACTATCACCCACATCTCTGAGAGTAGCTTCCCTAACTGGGTTACTCCTGAGTTAACCGGGTAACTCAAGCTAATCAAAATGATCCCATACTTCCCACCCCATACTCTACTACCACTGATAATTACTTGTAGTTTCATTGTACTCTAAATCTATGATTCCTCTGAATTATTTTCATTTAAAAGAACATTTATTTGTTAAATATGTAGTTCAAACTTAGTAGTTGATGTTATCTCATTATTCAGTGTTTGCGACATGCAAAGAAATGAGTATCAGACAGTGAGAGGCCCTGACATTATAATAGGTTTGGTAGGGATTGAACTAGAAGTACAGCACACAGGCAAAGCTGGAGAAGGACTTGGAGGAAGCCATTAGAGATACTCATAATTCTGCACATACCTAATCCCAGATCCTAAGGACTACATTAAGTTTACTAACATTTATACAATGATTTACAGTTTAAAGTGTAAACCTATCTAATTTACTACTATTCTGACCACAAAAATCCTATGATATGGTTACTGTTATTTAAGAGAAGAGGACAATGGGAGGGAAAGGTGTTGAAGTAATTTTCCCACAATTATAGCATCTGTTAGTTGGACTCTACCTACAATCTTCTGAGACAAATTGCATTTACTTCTCACCATATGACTCAGAAAGATGAGGTCGAATATATCAAAGTCATGGACATTAAGCTAAGTAAGAAATTACTCTTCTATATAATAAACACTGAGTAGACTGAGAGAAGAGATTGCTTGCAAACCTGAATAGCTTCAAGAGAAAGAGAAATCAAACACAGGGTAAGAATAACGGTTGTCATATAACAAGTAACTTGGTTGGAAAGGGATTCAAATGCATAAAGTAAGGGCTAAAATTTTCTGGCAACAACAATATGACTATACAATATAACCTTAAAAAGATGCATATGACTTCAAATAACTTGGAAATTGATAAAACTAATTAAATATTATTGAAGACCATCAATATTATAAATGTAGTTTACTTTTAAAACGGAACATAGAAATCTGTATTGCTAGAGTAGAAAACAATCCTTATCACAATTTGTCAAAATAAGTTTGTCATTAATACAAGTAGAATATTGCATTCAATTAATGTGCCTCTGTAGATTTTGTGTTTTGTTAAAATTAGAAAGAGATAGCACCAATTTGAATTATTGAAAGTAACATGTAAATAGTTCTACGTACGTTCTTTTGACATCTTGTTCAATCATTGATCGAAGTTCTTTATCTTGGAAGAATTTGTTCCAAAGACTCTATAATAAAAAAAAAATAATCTATTATGTAATCTCACATCTTTGCTTTACTTTTAATGATTTCAATTTAATAATTTAAATGGTTAAATGTATTCTTCTCTGAGTTACCATTTCACATTGCAGATAAAAAAAACCTGAGACTGGGATAATTTTTATTAAAATCTAGTTTAATCTCAGAAACACATCTTTATTCTAATACCAATTTTTTCCAGTTTGATATTATTGTATAAAGTCAGCCTTCCTCATCTGCAGGTTCAACAACAACAATCCAACCGTGGATCAAAAATATCAGGAAAAAATTAAAAATAGCAATACAATAATAAAAAATACCAATTAAAAACAACACAGTATAACAATTTTATTCAGCATTTACATTGTATTAAGTATTATGAGTAATCTAGAGATTGTTTAAAATATACAGGAGGATGTACACAGGTTACATGGAAATATTATGCCATTTTATATAAGAAACTTGATCACCTGCAGATTGTGGTATCCATGAGGGGCCTGGAGGAACCAATCCCCCATGAATAATGAGAAACTAGTGTATATTCTTAAAATTTCTATTATCTATATAATGTGAACAATACTTTTCACTGCCATATGCTACTGCTACTACCCCTGTAACAATAAAAAGGTGCTTGGATTACAGCAGGACCCATGGGCCAACTGTCCCCAGCTTGAATCTGACTTGAATTCCCAATGCACCAAGAAAGATAGATAAAGTTTTCTGCAGAGCTTGGTTTTATAATCCAGTAATTTTTTTTCTTTTGAGACGGAGTTTCGCTCTTGTTACCCAGGCTGGAGTGCAATGGCACGATCTCGGCTCACCGCAACCTCCGCCTCCTGGGTTCAGGCAATTCTCCTGCCTCAGCGTTCCAAATAGCTGGGATTACAGGCACGCGCCACCATGCCCAGCTAATTTTTTTGTATTTTTAGTAGAGATGGGGTTTCACCATGTTGACCAGGATGGTCTTGATCTCTTGACCTCGTGATCCACCCGCCTCGGCCTGTGCTGGGATTACAGGCGTGAGCCACCGTGCCCGGCCCATCCAGTAAGTTTTTATATACATTTTGAAATATGAATTTAAGGGAAAGTTTTTAAAAATTACTTAATATTGTATGCTCTTATACCAAAGACTATAAATAGTTATGTAGCAGGAAAGAGAAATGCTAACACTATGTATTAGAAGAAAAAATGTGTTTTTAGGTAAATAGGCAAAAACTAGACCACTAACACTTGTAAAGCTACATGATAACTTTAAAGTAGTAATTACTCCTTCTCTTCACTAGCATATGAGAAGTAAACCTGGTATTTTTAAAACTTCTTCATAGACTTACTAGAAATGATTACTTCCTTCTTCCTGTGAATTAACCCTATTAAGTGAGCCCTTCTTTATTTTTATCATGAAGGGAGGCTTTCCTTAGCTATGCAGTTCCCCACTGCCACCCTGACAAGACAGTTCTGTTCTCATCTTTAAGCTCTTACATTTTTATCCTTAGTTTTTACAGAATTCCAGGATTTCTTTGTATTGTCAATCCACAAAAATAGATCATAAATTTCCTACAACATAGAGTGTGTGCGTGTGTGTGTGTGTGTGTGTGTGTGTGTGTACACATATATATTTATATGGTGGTACTGTATGTGGAGTAAAGAAAATAGCATGAAATATACTGCTTTTATGGTGACTGGCAACCAGTCACATAAACATATTCTTAAAAGTAAAAGAGGTTAAGATATGAATAAAGATGAACTTTACCCCTTCATCCTGTGAAAGAGGATTATTGATCATCAAATCTTGTTGGCCAACAACCTTCCTTGGGTTTGTAATATGCTAGTAAAGAAAGAGAAAACACACACAAGGATCAGAGGCTACTGGATTTTAAAGTGTACATAAGAAAACACTTACATTAATTAAATGTACTGTTTACTTACTATTTCTTTAATGTTGCTATACCATACTCTTAATTCTTCAATTCTATTTATCCATTGATTTCTGTCTTGAGGAATAACACAAAGAAATAGCTGTCAAGAAAAACAGAAGAAACTTTTGTAAAAATCGTTAGATATAAAATGTGAAACTATGCCAAACTGAACCACCTGAAAATCGAAAGACATAATATTCATGATATTCCATATTTATATCATCATCACAGTCCTTAACAATTTCTGTTTGGAGATATTTAAGAAATATATAATCAGAAAATTCAAAAAGTGACCAAAGGCCAAAAAGCAAGATCACAAAGCTACACCACAAAATAGAATCAAGCTCCCCTTCAGATTTACATTATAAGGAAGAAAAACTCCTTGAGGTTCAATTATAATTCACATTTTACATTCCAGTCTTAATGGAAGTGGTAGAGGGTTATTAAGAAGCACAAAGTCTGGTAAGTAATTACTACACTAGGTTTTGCTTTAAAACAAGCAGGTAAAAGATAGTGAACAGCCTCACTGAGGGCATAGCCTGAGGCATTAAAGCATTCCTTTTACAGAAAAAAATATAATTTAAAGCTGGCAGTCAGCTTATGAAAATAACAACCATTCTTAAAATGACAAATTTGATTGAATTTAGTTTAATACAATATTAAAATAAATCTGGATTTAGGTTTATTTTTAACAAATGAAAGATACAAAAAGTTAAACAACAGGGAATAGGGGTGGGGCACAAATACTTGTGTACAAATATTCTAGCAGCAGGTCTCCTGCCTTTAATGCATCTAAAAGAAGAAAAATGTAATTTAATTATTAAATCTAAATTATTAAATCTAGAACTGTCTATTATGTGCTTTTGTCTTTACTTGCACAGACTCAGTATGTTTATGCAGATAATCCTAAAAACTTCTGATAGAAATCATTCTAGAAATAAGTCTAAACCTAAATAAATTCATGTTTAGAAAACAAAAACAATATTTCAAAGCAATCAAAAAGATACCTATAGATTATTATTAGTTTTGGTAAGCAGTGTACCTTTTCCTCTAAAGGAGAGTGATCCAATTTCCTTCTACTTCTTGCCACCCCTCATTTTGTGTTTCTACTAAAAGAAACGTGAAAAATATTTTCCTGCTGCCATTTATGAAGAAAAAAGGGAAGATAACTGAATGATGGCACTTGATATAATATGAACCTAAAAGTTAACCCCCCACCATTGCCTTTTCCTGAAAAACTTGAATTTCTGCAAAAGCCTCTGGGGAATGTAAAAGTGTTGCTCTTAATTTGGTACCATCAAAACAGTTGAAAAGATAGTTATTTCATATGACTCTTTTTGCCATTACCACTTACTCAGGAGCAAGGTGGTTCAACCTTATTAGTAAATGTCCTATGAAAGAAAGGCACAAATGATCAAAGTAATGGGAGTGAAGTCTCTTGGAAAATTCAGTGATCCCCTGCATGGCTGATCTTCTAGGGCATCAGGTAATGTGTTGATACATTGCAACCAGAAACTGTAAATAAATATTTTCTTCTTACCTTCCAGCAAATGCTGCGGAACCTGCTGCTTCTCAGCTGCCCATTAATCCCCTTCTGCCTTATTGTTGCCAAGTAATTGTTGTTTACAAATAGTTCTTCCCATTCTTTCCTATATGAAAGAAACCAAAGCATGAGAATCCTTTTGTTAAAATTCCTCTGCTTGGAGAGAAGTACTATGGGAAATTAATTTTAAGTAAGTCTAAAAAATGCAACTTTTAAAACATATATATTTAGTTGTGTACTGTTTCTGAACGCATGGCTGTCTTTTTGGACACAGTTCTTCCGCAGATTTAATGAATATGTAGATAGCTATAATTACGCCAGCTACTGAAATTCATAATGTCTACAGAGGCTATTCCATTTCCTCTAAAATGTTGATAGTGCAGTTCAGTGAGTAAACAAGAAAAAAATGAATATTAATACAAATATATGACTGTTTTAGCCAATGACAAAAATATACCTGCTCCAAAAATATGCAACAAAGAAGTGTAATGTTGATTATATTGGCTCCTCATGTGAAATATCTGTTTAAATGAACCCGTTTCTCTGTAATGTCAGGCTGGAGAGTAAAGTATAATAGAAGACTACTTTAACTGTTAGTGCTACTTCTACTGAAATTGCAACTTCTTTCTACATGATCAGTTTTAAAATTTTAACAGGTGTGGGCAAATTTGAAAAAAAAAAATCAAAAAATTAAAAAGCCTCACTGTAAAAACTGTTAAAGGCAAGCTTGAGTACCTCGCAGTACCTATGGCTGAGTAGATAAACAACTGAAATATGCCTCCCAGGCATGCAGGCACCAGGGGCCTAACACCTGTGCCTCATTAATATACAAGTAAATCTGCTCTACTGGGAAACAATTGGAAATTAATTGTCCCAAACCATTTACTGAGTTTGAATAAAGGAATTAGACCTATATTCCCTGCATCTTGCACCAAACTAAACATTAAGAATCATTTGAGTAGAAGGCTATTGAGATTAGCTTTATGAAATTTCTCTCAAATTCCATCATATCACAATAAAATTTACATATAATTTAACATTTATTATCAAAGCTGAAACCCTGACGGTAATATCTTAAGAGAGATTTCTGAAAAAGAAAGCCACTAATACACTCAATCATTCTTCTGTTTTATATGCACGCAGTTGTCGCTAAGTTAGACCCTACTCATTTTGAGAAATGATAAACTTGCATACTATGCTTAGAATAATGATCTGTACACAAAAAGTTCAAAACTTGACTACGGCACAAAATGCATCTTCTCCACACAGTTCCGGAAGAGTGACCACAGACAATGACACATTCCCTACTGCCACCAGCAGAACTTCCAGCTTTAACCCAGTAGGGCCATGATCCTCAATCACACCAAGCCTTCTGCCAATAGTGGCTTCTGGCTAAGATTGCTAAAGGAGACACACATTCCAGCCCATGCTAGAAGAAATGCATTTCTATCACCACGGCACAAAAATGTCTTATTCTCATCACTTTTACCAGTTAAAAAATTGGTTTTACTTTAGTTTGTTCTACTAGTGAAACTAAAAACTTGTTCATGCTTTTGGGTCATTTTATTGCTTCCTTTGTAAAAATCTGCTTTTTGCACTTTGCCCATTTTATGCAGTACAGGATAATGGGTGAAGAGAATAGATATCAGAGCCACATGCTTGGGATCAGAAAGACAGCCATGCAGTAAGAAAAGGTACACAGCTTACTAGCTACTTACTAGATAATGCAAGCATGGGCAAATTTCTTAACCTCTCTGTGCCTTAGCTTCCTCATCTTTAAAATGGAATAATAATAGAATCCTCTTAAAATAATTATTATGTGAATTTCAAAAATACACGAAAAGCCCTCAGAGGGTGCTCACGTTCTCTCGCTCTCTCTCGCGTGCTCGCTCTCTCTCATACACCTTTTTTAAAAAGAGACAAGGTCTCACTTGGTCATCAGGATGGAATACAGTGGTGCAGTCATAGCTCACTTTAACCTTGAAATCCTTAGGCTCAAACAATCCTTCTACCTCAGCCTCCACTGTAGTTGAGGCTACTCAGGAGGTACCACAGGCACACACCATCATACCAGGCTAATTTTGTAATTTTTTGTAGAAACTGGGTTTTGCCACGTTGCTCAGACTGGTCTACAAAGGACCTCAAATGATTCTCCCTCCTCAGCCTCCCAAAGTGCTGGAATTATAGGTGTAAGCTAGTGTGTCCATATTCTATACTTTAAAAAATTAATATTTTTAACTGCTTTTATGTTAATGTGTCTTATTATTGATTAAAGATAGATTTTCATACATTAAAGACATCATGCCTTCATCAGCCAATTTTTAACCCAATTGGCTTAATTTTCAATATATTGAAGCTTTTAAAATTTGTGTATAATTAATATCTAACATTATTTTCTCTCATTGATCTTTCCATTGTTTTCTCTTGCTTAAGTAATTACTAGCCACTCCAACACTAAATAAATATTCATTGAAATCTTGTGGGTTTTTTCCCCCCACTTTATTCCATTTTTATTACCTATAATATTCTAAATATGTTCTATTTTGAAGTAACTGCACATACATACTGACATCTCATAATGTTCAAATTTTGTTTTTGTCTAGTTTTTAGCAATATTCAAAGACGAAATTAGCAACGCGTACGTTAGAGGAGTACAGGCATACCTCATTTATGTCACCTCATTTTACTACACTTCACAGGTACTGCATTTTAATAAACTGAAGGTTTGTGGCAACCTTGCATTGAGCAAGTCTACAGCATGTGCTCACTTCGTGTCTCCTGTGTCATATTTTGATAATCTTCACAATATTCCCAACTCTTTCACTGTATCTGTTACGATGACATGTCATCAGTGATCTTTTATGTCACTATCGTAACTGTTACGAAGCAAAATGAAACACAACCATGTAAGACAGTGAACTTAACTGATAAATGTTGTATGTGTTCTGGCCATGACACAAAACAGATAGTCCCTTCCCTCTCCTTAAACCTCCCTAATAATGCTACAATGACCTCTTAATGTTCGAGTGAAAAGAGGAGTCATAGGTCTCTCAATTTAAATAAAAAGCTAGAAATAATTAAGGTTAGTGAGGTAGGTATATCTAAAGCTAAGTTAGACCAAAAGCTTGGTCTCTTGCACTAAATAGGTAGTCCAGTGGTGAATGCAGAAAAAAAAAGTTCTTAAAGGAACTCCAAAGTGCTACACCAATAAACTCATGAATGATGAGAAAGCAAAACAGTCTTACTGCTGATATGGAAGAAGTTTGAGTGGTTTGGATAGAGAATCAAATCAGTCACAACATCCCCTTAAGCCAAAGCTTACTACTAGAGCAAAGCCCTAACTCTCCTCAATTCTATGAAGGCTGAGAGCAGTGAAGAAGCTGCCAAAGAGAAGTTGGAAGGTAGCAGACGCTGGTTCATGAAGTTTAAGAAAAGGATCCATCTCTATAACATAAAATTGCAAGGTGAAGCAGAAAGTGCTGACTGAGAAGCTGCAGCAAGTTACACAGAAGATCAAGCCAAGATAACTGTTGAAGGTAGCTAAAATAAACAATAGATGTTCAATGTAGACAAAACAGCCTTCTATTGACGGAGGACACCATCCTCCGTCACCATCGAGGACTTTCATAGCTAGGGAGGAGAAGCCAAGGCCTGGTTTTAAGGCTTCAAAGGACAGGCTTCTCTTTGTTACAGGATAATGCAGTTGGTAACTTAACTGAAGCCAATTTTTAACCATTCTGAAAGTCCCAGAGACTGTAAGCATTATGCTAAATCTACTCTCCATGTGCCCTATAAATGGAGTAACAAAGCCTGGATGACAGCGTATCTGTTTGCAACATAGTTTACAGAATATTTTAGGCCTACTTTTGGAAACTATTGCTCAAGGAAAAGAAAGATTCCTTTCAAAATATTATTCTTCATTGACAATACCCCTCATCACCCAAGAGCTCTGATGACTATGTACAAAGAGATTAATGCTGTGTTCATTTCTGCTAACACAAAATCCATTCTGCAGCCCATGCATTGGGGAGTCATTTCTAATTTGAAGGTTTATTATTGAAGAAATACATTTCATAGGCTATAGCTGCCACAGATAGTGATTTCTCTAACAGATCTGGGCAAAGTAAATTCAAAATCTTCTGGAAAGGATTCATTATCTAGATGTCATTAAGAACATTAGAGATTCATGCAAGGAGGTCCGAATAGCAATATGAACAGTTTTTAAAAGTTAATTCCAATCCTCACGGATGACTCGGAGGGGTTTCAAGACTTCAGCGGAAGAAGTAACCACAGATGGAGAAAAATAACAAGAGAACTAGAATTAGAAAAGGAGCCTGAAGATGTGACTGAATAATAAAACTGGAATGAATTAGGAGCTGCTTCTTATGAAAGAGCATAGAAAGTGGGTTCTTGAGATAGAATCTACTGCTGGTGAAGATGCTGCGAATATTGTTGAAATGACAACAAAGAACTTAGAATATTTAATAAACTTACTGAGAAAGCAACTGCAGAGTTTGAGTAGATTGAGTCCAATTTTGAAAGAAGTTTTACTCTGGGTAAGATGCCATCAGACAGAATCTCATACTACAGAGAAATCTTTATTGAAAAGAACACTCAATCCATGAGGCATACTTCACTATTTTTTTTTTTTTAAGAACTTGCCGGCCAGGCGCGGTGGCTCAAGCCTGTAATCCCAGCACTTTGGGAGGCCGAGGCGGTGGATCATGAGGTCAAGAGATCGAGACCATCCTGGTCAACATGGTGAAACCCTGTCTCTACTAAAAATACAAAAAATTAGCTGGGCATGGTGGTGTGTGCCTGTAATCCCAGCTACTCAGGAGGCTGAGGCAGGAGAATTGCCTGAACCCAGGAGGCGGAGGTTGTGGTGAGCCAAGATCGCGCCATTGCACTCCAGCCTGGGTAACAAGAGCGAAACTCCGTCTTAAAAAAAAAAAAAAAAAAAAAAAAAAGAAATTGCCACAGTTAACCCAACTTTCAGCAACCACTACCTTGACTAGCGGGAAGCTATCAACAAGGCAAGACCTTCTACCAACAAAAAAGATGAAGAACTGCTGAAGGCTCAGATGATCCTTAGCATTTTTTTTT